AAGGTTGATGAAGGCAAGTCCAGTTCTCCACCCAATTAAAATACGTGCGATGATTAAATGCTACAGATTAGTTCAAAACCGTATGGCAATGATATGTGTGCGCGCAGTGTGTGTGCTTGTGTGTGTCTGTGTGTGTGTGTGTGTGTGTGTGTGTGTGTGTGAGTGTGTGTGTGCGTGAGAGAGAGAGAGAGAGAGAGAGAGTGTGTGTGTGTGTGTGTTTGTGTGTGTGTGTGTGTGTGAGAGAGAGAAAGAGAGAGAGACTGAGAGAGAGATATAGTGTGTGTGTGTGAGTGTGTGTGTGTGTGTGTGTGTGTGAGAAAGAGAGAGAGAGACTGAGAGAGAGATAGTGTGTGTGTGTGTGTGTGCGTGCGTATGTGCTTGAGTGTGTGTGCGCTTGAGTGTATGTGTGGGTGAGAGAGTGTCTGTGTGTTTTCCCTGAATATCAATGCCTAACATTCGATCGTTTTCTTGAAAAAAAAGAAAACCCACCAGTCTAGAGATTCCAAGGTCTTCCTTCAAAGAGAAATTTCTACTACTAGTATTAAAGTTTTAAATGGGAATGGGTTCTCTTGAAATTCTACTTTTCCTATGCAGTCATAGAAGATGGAAATCCAGTCGGGCCTTCCTTCCCCTGACCTAGTCCACTGCGGAGTGTCTATCTCCAAAGCTTTTTGTTGAGGTCAGGATGAGGGCAAGTGTTATCAAACCCTTGTGAGTCCGGGGGCACGAACCTTGCTAAGTGGGCCAACTTTTCGTTTTCTCTCCAAACACAGGATCGTGATGGCTTCATGAGAAAAGTGAGGTGAGAAGGGGACCCTCTAATCTCACCCTACATCTTAATTTTGCTATCAAAACAAGTGGAAATTGTCCCGGTGCTTAGTTTACACTGAAGCACAAAACGTTCTCTGTCTCTCCTTCACATGTTGATGATGTTCGTCCATCCTTCACATGTTACTCTGATGAAAAATGGCCTATTTTCTTCATCATGTTTCTCAAAACAATTCAACACCGAAAACTGACATTTTACCAGCATCACATATGTTAACGCAAACTATTCAAACGATCATGAAATAAGCATCCGTTTTGTTGATGGTAATTTTTAGATACACGCTAACGAATAATTTACTTACTTCTGTCTTGCTGTGTGGCTAAAAACAGGTGCTTATTTCGAAACCCTTCCGCCTGGTGTTAGAATGGTTTGCTGTAGCATATTCTTTTCTTCAGTTGAAGCCATTAAACTCTCATTAGTAAGTCAAACCAAGCGACACAGGCGGTCTCATGCATACACGTAATTCTACACTACCAAAACAGATAAATTTCTGGGCGAGCTCTTTCAGTGGCCAGTCTTTAAACCGTCGGGCCCTTTGAGCGGGTTTTTCACACAGACGAAGAACTCATATAGCGGCACTTTAAAAACGTCCATCCAAGTCAACATTTATTGTTGTGTTTTTGTTTCTAACTTTGAAGTTTCACTAACATGGGTTTAAACTTCAACACAGATTTGTCAAAATATCCGGTATTCTAGATCACATATGATAACAAAAATGGCAAATGCAATATTTTCACTGTTGAATACTGGCATATAATATGGAAAGCTTTATCAATTTGTGAACGCTAATTTAAAAAAAAAGTAAGATCAGAAACTTTGGTTTTGCAATGCCAAAAGCACGTGCACATCAGGCAAAGTCGGTTGTTTTCATAGCTTACAAACGTGACAATCGTCAGATTTAGATCACAAGGATGTCTGTCCAAACTGTATTGCGTACTAAATGAACCGTTCGGTAAAAACAGACGGTTTTGTAGTTTCGTCTCTTCATACTGAATGGTTTAGTCGCTTGCAGCTTATGATACAAAAAAAATCCAGCCCTGATTTTGCAGACGACGCCGTAATTTGATTTTGAGAAATACAAATAAAGTTCTTTATACACTTACAGGAAATGTCCACATTTGGGACATGGTACCAGTTCTCCGATTTATCATCAATTAAGGTTCTATCGCGTTGGAATTGTACCAGCTGTTGGCCGGGGTCTGGCGAGATCTCCCCGGGCCACGAGAACAGACACACCGCCAAGTCTCGCGGGACTCCGCGGGAACACAGGGCTAACAAGCTGAGGAAAACGCCCCGCACGCCCCGTGTCCCCAGCCTGACCGCAATCTATCACGTGCCAATCACACAACTGTCACACCACTCACACGTGTCCATCTATACACACAGTCCTTCTGATAAAACCCTACATCATATAGATAGTTTTGTTCCAATTTTTAAAGAAATATACACGGAAATATACTCTATAGCATTGCTCAATACTTTGTTACCCGATCGTACAAGATATGTTACGGTTCGGTTAGGTTTGACCAAGAAAACAGACAGGATGAAATTGCGATTCTGTCGCTCACAAGTCGCATGCAAGAGGTACCTGGTATACTCTTTAAACCTTTTAAGAAAGTTTGATGAAAATCTTGGAAAATTTGTGAAAAGTTTGGGATCCCTTGGATTAAAACACACACACACAAAGAGACACGTGCAATACGGTGTATAACCACCTTGGTGATTTGAAACTTGGGAGGATATACTAGTACTAGTATACTACCCCCCCCCCCCCCGAACGGAGGTTTCTGTCACCACTGACTTCCTCTCCCGCCAGAGTCCGTCTCTCCCACACTGAACCAATTAACTCTCAACCAATCACCACCGCTGCACAAAGCAAGCCGCAAACCGTATGGGGTCGCTTCTGTACGTCAGAAGGCTGAACGTTTAAAACTTTCATAACTTCAACGCTTTGCGGTGAATGGAAAGTGTGAATTTTGTGCTATGTAAAGCAACAATTTCATAGTATTATCTTTTCCTATCTTTCAGATGGTCATTCAAATCCTTTACCCACAATTTTATGTTCCTTGATGCAGATTTCTGAGTTCTAGACGTTCTTCGTCGATCTGAATATGTAACAGCAAAGGCACAAGCGACGTCTAGCGACAACATGTGGGACAACAGCTTTGAGGGAAATATTTGAGGGAATCGAGTAAAGCCGTTCTTGAGTTATTCTATTCTTGGTGACGAACAGACGACAGACAAACCAGTGCCTAAAACATAACCTTAATTTTTCATGGAGGTACATGTAACAAGTCCGCACAAGGGCCTAAGACAAGAGACAAGAGACAAGTGATGTATACACAGAAAGAGCGCTAGCTAGGCCAGGGATAGGAAATTTAAAACAAAATGCATTGTAAACTCAAATGTGCTTTTGTAGCGTTCGCTTAATTTTACTGTGGCAGATATTATAATATCTTATTTTTAGAATTAATAACTTCCAGCCTCAGACGTTTGTATGCTGAACTGGTTTATACGAACATTTGACGAAACATATTTTTTCTTCCTGACTAGTATACAAAATCACCGAACATAGACCTCAACAGTTATAAGAGGCAAAAACACTGTTCTGTTATCTTGGTAGAGAACTGTGCTGATATACAAGTGAATCTAGGGGAAAAATTCTGGTTTTTACAGCAAGGAAACTTGATTGAGAGAAAATCCACAGAACAGATATCATTCAAATCCTTTACCCACAATTTTATGTTCCTTGATGCAGATTTCTGAGTTCTAGACGTTCTTCGTCGATCTGAATATGTAACAGCAAAGGCACAAGCGATTTCAAAGAGTATACACAGAAAGTGCGATAGGACTGGGTTCTAATATGGTGACATTTAAAAAATCCGTTGTATGCTCAAAGACGCTCCCACACCGTGCAATAAATTTTTCGTAACTTCCAGCCTTAGCAGATACAGTATTAGAAAAGGAATTTCCTCCAACCTGAGTCTCGGTGAGTTTTCAAGAGCTGGTTTGACAGCTCCAGTCGTCTGGACTTTAAAGCTAATCTAGTTTGAATCGGTTCAAATTCACAACAAACTAACCTGAGTCTCGGTGAGTTTGAGCTGGTTTGACAGCTCCAGTCGTTTGGTGACAGACAGGTA